TTTTACATAAAGAATCTATATATATATATATATATATATATTGCCAATTTTTTAATATTCCATTTTCAAAAAATCAGCTTTTTTGTTTTTGTGGCACATCAATGAGTTTTGGTACACATATAGAGAAAAATGTTCTGACTCCGAAACCGTTCGCAATCAAAATTTTGGTTGATGCGCGCAAAAGTTATCGAGGTTTTAATTTTGGGCATAAGAAAAAAATCTTAAAATTACGCCGTTTATTATATTGACCAAAAACGTTGATATATATCTTCCTCCGTAAAATATGAATATGAATATATTATAATAATCACGATAAACATATTCGCGAAATATGAGAAAAATAAAAAATATATAGCAGATTACATCAATATTTTCATTATTTTAATGACATACACACACCTAAAAATTAATTTAAAAATACCTACATAATCTAAACACCATGGTGAATCAAATGATATCAAAGTCACACAAGTCGGTGTAGTGGTTTCTAAATCAAAGCGACAATAAAACAAGATATTGAGGAAAAATATTCGTTATCAGCTCACCAAGTACTACCGTCTAGTGATTTGAGAACCTTATTCCTGCTCGGACGACTTATAGAGGCTATCGAATTTGACTCCTATAGCCTTGGGGTAATTGGCGGTCGGAATTGTTGACCCATTAACCTGCACCTTTAAAGGTAGCCGCATCTCCGCTATCCAAGTGGTAAACAATGTGGTCGTTGGTATAGTGGCGGATTTCCATATTCCTCGCCCGGAAAAAAAAACAATTATATCCATGAGATAGCTGTTCAGCCTCTCGCAAATGTCATCAATTTTCGGTGCAAATGCCATAATCGTAAAATCATCCTCGTACGTAACAATCTTTATGTCATTCAATGGGCGTGAGATTTCAGAAAGGTAGAGTTTAAACCATTCCAGAGATATCATACCTCCATGGGGAACTCCCTGCTTAACTCTACGGACCTTCGTCTTCATATTTCTTAATTCCTCGTACAACTGGCCTTAAACTTGGCTGAAGGTATAAAATTATTAAACTAGAGCAGAGATCTGTAAACACCTTTTTTGAGGTATTTTGAAATTTGATTATAGTTCAAAATTTTTGGTTCTGATTGGGTGGAGAATCTTCCAACCAAAAATCAGTATTGGTCTCCCTTAGGCATACCCCCATATAACGATGCCATTCAATCCTAATCACAAATTGCCCTCCAATTTTTCGTTTTTTAGGGCAGCTCCCCATTCTCTGTTTCAAAAAAATAGAATTTGGTTTTTATACCCTTCACCACACTGTGGTACAGGGTATTATGTCTTTGTGCATATGTTTGTAACAGGCAAAAATAATCGAGATAGACCCATGGTTCCTTTTGAGAATATACATAGAATCACTTTCTAAGTCGATTTATGCATGTCCGTCCGTCCGTCCGTCTGTCCGTCTGTCTGTCCATGTTAAATTGTAAACAAAGTACAGGTCGCATTTATGATCCGAATTGGATGAAATTTGGCATAGGTCACTTATTCGGCCCAAGGACGAACCCTATTGAAATTGGGAAAAATCGGTTCAGATTTAGATATAGCTCCCATATATATATTTAACCGATTTAATGTAAACGGTCCCTATATATCTTTCGATTTGCACGAAATTTGGTGCAGCCTAATCATTTAAGTCTAGAATGATGTCTGCCAAGTTTCGTAAAAATCGGTCCAGATTTAGATATAGCTCCCATATATAGTTTCGTCCGATTTCATGTAAATGGTGCCCCAAAGTCCCTATATATATTTTGATTTGCACGAAATTTGGCATAGCGTACTGAATTAAGCCTAGAGTGATGTCTGCCAAGTTTCGAGAAAATCGGTCCAGATTTAGATATAGCTCCCATATATAGTTTCGTCCGATTTTATGTAAATGGCGCCTCAAAGTCCCTATATATCTTTCGATTTGCACGAAATTTGGCATAACGTACTGAATTGAGCCTAGAATGATGTCTGCCAAGTTTCGTCAAAATCGGTCCAGATTTAGATATAGCTCCCATATATAGTTTCGTCCGATTTCATGTAAATGGTGCCCCAAAGTCCCTATATATCTTTTGATTTGCACGAAATTTGGCATAACGTACTGAATTAGGTCCAGAATGATGTGTGCCAAGTTTCGAGAAAATCAGTCCAGATTTAGATATAGCTCCCATATATAGTTTCGTCCGATTTCATGTAAATGGTGCCCCAAAGTCCCTATATATCTTTCGATTTGCACGGAATTTGGCATAACGTACTGAATTGAGCCTAGAATGATGTCTGCCAACTTTCGAGAAAATCGGTCCAGATTTAGATATGGCTCCCATATATAGTTTCGTCCGATTTCATGTAAATGGTGCACCAAAGTCCCTATATATCTTTCGATTTGCACGAAATTTGGTACAGCCTGATCATTTAGGTCTAGAATGATGTCTGCCAAGTTTCGTGAAAATCGGTCCAGATTTAGATAGATATAGCCCCTTTTATTATAGATTGATTTTAAGTAATTGACGCACCATATATATTTTCGCCCGATTTCAAGTGTAATTTGGCATCAAACTCCTCATGTTAGACAGATTGACATCAAAGTTTGCACATCGTACAAAATTGGGCATAAAATTATATAGTTGCGTTTTCTAGAAGTACAGACATAGCCCTACGGATGACCTATTTATATTTGTTTGAAGTCGATTTACATACTTTAAAGATAGATCTAGGTCGTTTCACATTTAGATAAATATCACATATTTTATTTCATCCAATTTCATGCTAATAGTCCTGTGTAATATACCCATAGTGGTGAAGGGTATCATATAGTCGGCCCCGTCCGACTTTACTACTTTCCTTACTGTTTTTTTTTTTGGTTCTTTTTTGGCTGTCAAAGCCAAAGTCAAGTATCAATAGCAACATTTTAGCGCCAGTGGTATTTTTTTCGTTAAATATTCTTATTAATTAAAATAAAACTAGTTTGCTAACTTGTTTTTATTTCATTTCAACCTACGCTATTTCAAGAAAGTCCTTTTAAATTTTCAAGTGAACATCTAACAACTCTTGAAGATATAGCCGATTGATTGTGTTGGCATCAATTGACGGCAACTGCGCTTCTCAAACTTTTAATGCGTTTTTCTCGAAACTGTGTTTTTACCGAAGGCGGGCACCATAACTCAAAAACTAATAACCCAAACCGTCGAATGAACCAGGATAAATATAATCGGTCAATATTTTCCTTATTTTTCTAACTTGGTTTGTAGTCAAAAAAATTAGGTATTTGGTGCAACATTTACTTGTAATATATAGGATCAATATTTACATATGAACCGATTTGAAGAAAACTTGACATACATCATTAACTTTGGGTATAAATTTGTGTCAAACGAACACAAATTTACTTAAATAACTCCATTGGAATTCCTTCTGCCTTGAAGATGTTTTTCGCCACGGATATTCCCATCCTCCCTAATACGACTAATAACAATTGCATTGTAATGCATTTTTGTGTTGAATATATAATTTTTAAACAAAAATATATGTATATTGACTTCTCAATTTAAAAGACAAACAACAGTAACGGCATTCATGAGGATAAAAACAACAACAACAATATTGTTTACTAAACTTCCGTAAAAGCTTTTATACAATTCCGCCAAAGTATTATCATAAAATACCCGAAAACGAAAAATGAAAATGTTTGTAACACCCATGGTTGTTTGTTTGGTTGATTGTGGATAAGCCAAAGCCGCCTTGAATATGAAACCCACCCATAATTTCATTTCCCAATTTTTGGCGGATATTGTTGTTGTTATCGTTGATGTTCTTGTTTGGCCATATTATTTTGGATACATTTAAAAGTCAATGCTGAGCTAAGTATTTCGTGTTCTTGGTAGGTATAAAAAAACTGTAAGTAAACATAGGAACCAAATTTCCAGTCGCAATCTCCACGCTCTCGCCAGACAGGCAGCCAGTCAGTTAGCTATACAGTAACAGGACAAGCGATTGAAAATATATACATACATAGACTAACTATTACTTATATACACAGTCATACAGGCAGACAAGAACTGTAACCAAATACACAGTATCGTTTATTATTTATGTTAATAAGACGGAAATACGAGGAGCATCATAGGATGTGTTTTCTTTCTGTGGCTAGATATTCGATAGATTTGTAACAGTACCTTGGTTTTTCTGTATTATTGACTAACAATTTTATTTATTATTTACTTGAATTTTGCAATTTAATAACGAATCGTATTCAATGTTCACTGAACTTTTTTTATATGGAAAAATAAGCTAAAAAAGTTTTGTTTTTTATTGGGAATTTTAAATTTTTAATGGAAAAATAGGCAAGTTTTCATTGCTAGTGTAATGAAATTCAATGAATATTTAATTTTGTCCCCTAAATGAGATGACGGTGTATCGAGCATCGAATCGGGTCTTTGAGGTAGTTAAGGTTAACTTTATGATGACTTGTTGTTTATAGGACCTAGTAATTACGACCGTATTAATAGTAGTCATTTGCATTTTATTCTAAATTTTGTCATTGAACTTCCTACAATCTGCCATTCAAAAACAATACAAATCAAATATTTTTTCTTAAAAATATGCATTCATGTATATTTTCTATAATATTTTGTTTTTAGTTGATAAAGGATATAATCCAATTACATCACTATATTGGACTTAACAAATTCATAATTTATAAATTTCATTATTTAAATATATAATTTCTTTAAAAATTATTTCACTTCATTATTAATGCAAAATTAACATTACAATTATAAAAAAATACTATTTAAACAATTTGGCATAAAGCCATAGGGTAGTACTAGAGGAAAGGTAAATAATAAAAGAGGGAAAAGGCTAGTATATAATACAAAACAATAGATAGGTAAAGAATGGGGAAAATAAACTAAATAAAAATAATAATAATAAATTTACAAAATGCTATAACAATGTTTTTTTTTTCATTCACTTTGGATATGCGCTTGCTTATTAGTTAATGCTATTAACTGTGGTCACATCAGTTTCCGTTTTTTGTTCGGCCAGCCATTTACGTACTTGTTCCTGATTCTCTTCCAACCATTTCTTGTTGTTCTTGACATTTTCCAAGGCCTCCTTGCGAGCGGCAGTACCTGCACCACCTTCAGGGTATTTTGTGAAGAATGCTTCCATTTCATCCAATTTAGTTTGAGAGGCAAAACGGGAGGTAATCGATGGAATCATGCGACCTAAATAACGTTCGTTAATGCCGAAACGTTCAACCAGGCGGGGCCAGTTTTCGCGCACGTAATCCCACACCAAAGATTGACCAATGCGGTTTTGAGCTATATACTGCAAGCATGTGAAGTAATCCTGGCCACGTACATAGTTTTCATTCCAGGCCAAGTTGATGTAGCTGTAATATAGATATCATAAAATTAATTAATTTATTTGTCTATTTATGTTGACTCTTTAATCTATAATTACCGTTGCAAAATCCATGGTTCCTTGATGGCAGCCAAAGCTTCCATAAGCTTGATTTTCTCTTGGGCATCTTGTTCGGCCACAAACAAATCCCACACTTGATTCCAGCTTTGTTCATTGCCCACACTTTGCATGCCATAATAGTAAACAGTGGAACGAATGTCAGGGTTGGGTCTTACTGCGGGGTTCTCCAACCATTCATTGAAACGTTTGCCAGCCTCTTCCAAGGCTTCGGGGACACCATAACCACAGGCAGCATTGAGAACAGTAACACGCAAAAGACTAAAAGAATATGAAAATGTTTAATACAACTATAAAATAATTACAATAAAAAGGACACACTTACTTTTGCAAATGGTTATCATCGACATTCCATGTCACAGTTGGATATACATTCTTCAATAGCTGGCGGGCATAATCGACAAAATCACGATACAAATCGGTGAAATATAACAAATTCTTAATGGCACTTAAACGCGAGGCACCCACATTCCATGGTACATAGTCAATTTCCATTTCTAAGTATTTACTCAAATCCAAAGCAATGCTATATTGCAATTGCCCAGCATCGGCCAAAGCGAATACATCGTTAATCAAATGGGCACGATCGGAAACACTGAAATCACCACGTCTTGTCTTAAGTGTTTCAATGAGTGATTGCCACATTTCAGTTGGATAATTGACACGATAATAACCGATTTGATCTTTATTGAATTTAATCCATTCAACTTCGCCAGGCACGGTAACAGTAACTGTAAAGAATACAAATAGAAATGATAAAATATTCTTTAATAGCCCACGCCTTTAGTTGACACTTAAAAAAATATTCTTTATTAGCCCACGCCTTTAGTTGAAATATTTTTTTTTTTTTAATCCAATCCTTTAAACATTTGATGCTATAGTAGCCCTTATTTTTTTATTGTAAGCCTATAGTAGGTCTTAAAAAATCCTGATTCTCACCTTCATTATCATTATAGTTGAAAATAGTACGTTGGACTTCAGAGCTGGAACTGGTGAAATAGGTTATGGGAATAGACCAATGGTAGCTACAAAGAAAAAACCGATTTTAAAACTTCTTCCTCATTTAAATCTCATTTAAACATACTTAAATGGTGAATCAGTATAGGTGCCATCATAGTCCTCAGGATTGGCAAAGAATCGCTTTTGGGTCAAAGTGTAAGAATTACCATTACGTTTAACTTCCACAACGGGCAGACCCATTTGTTCGGTAAAGGTTTGCATAATCAATCTAAAAAATATATTTCAATTTCAGATTTAGTTTCCGAAATTATTAACCCGTCTTTCAAAACTTACTTAACATCAAAATCAAAATTCAAAGCTTCCACCTCAGTAAGGAAGTCATTAGTTTCGGCATTGGAGAAATAGAATCTATTCAAATAATTAGTGGTGGCATTACGGAATTTCTCAGCACCAACTAAATCTTCCAACATACGGATGACAGAGGCACCCTTCGAATAGGTAATGCTATCGAATAATTCAGTAATTTGATTGGGACTTTCCACGGTTTGGACAATGGGATGAGAAGCCAAGGTGGCATCCAATTTCATAACACCATGTAAATCGGCAATGAGGAATTGGGAAAGCTATAACAACGCAAAAAATAAAATCTAATATTATTTCAAAATCAAAAAAGTAAATAAAATCCACTTACCATATCCCAATCAGGATGAATATGATCAACACCCTTGTATTCAATGTAACTGGCAAAACCTTCATTCAACCACAAATCATTCCACCATTTCATGGTAACTATAAATAGAAATAAATTAGTATATATGTTTTCAAATGTAATTTCACTTCATCCTGGCGACTTACCCAAATTACCAAACCACATATGAGCCAATTCATGAGCCACCACAGTTGCAACACGTTGCTGATTAGCACTTGAGCTAATAGTTTTGTCATACAACAATGCGGTTTCACGGTATGTCACCAAACCCCAATGTTCCATAGCACCCGAAACAAAATCGGGTATGGCAGCCATATCAAGTTTTGGCAATGGATATGAAATATTGAAATATTCAATATAGTATTCGGTGATGCCAACACCAACATTCAAAGCATAATCGACTTTATCAACTTGAGCTGGTGTGGCAAAGACACGCATCTTAAAGCTGGATACATTGGGCAAAACGCCGCGTACATTTTTCTCCTTGAATGCGAAATCGGAAACAATGAAACAGGCCAAGTAAGTGCTCATCGGTTCACTTTCAGCGAAATGGACTTCGGTGAGGCCATTGCCAAGATCTTCTTCGTGCTGTAAGCAGAGAAAAAGGAATAATTATGAATAAAAAATCAGGAGATATTCCTATAATACTCTATGAACGATTAATAAGGGCACCTTAAATTATTGGATGGATTTTAAATGGTAAAATAAAATAATTTGGAGGTTTAATAATACATTTTCACATTAAAAGTTGTTCATAGCAGCTTCCATCAAATAAACACTTATATTGGAGTCATTTCAAACTTGGACGTAAAAATCATATTCCAATGGTCTTAAAAGTTTACGGTATGTTGGTCCTATTTTTTATACAGAGATCACTTCTACCTTCTTTTTCCGAAGTAAACATATGAAGATTGCCACAACTGACTTATAACAATTCTATGATTCTATGGGTCACGAAGCCAACATTGTGGAACAAGTTTATAGTCTCTAGCCAGCGACAGTAAGAGTAACCTTATTGAAAGTGATATGCTGATCTATGGCAGCACCAGTCATGTCAAACATGTGGGAATGATTCTCATAATATGTAGCTCCTTAATAATAGTCTATCCAAACTCTCTCATCCATTCCCTTTCTTTATTAAGGACTCTCAAAGGACATATATAAGACATGAAGTATAATTTAGACTTGTATATGCTGCTCAAAAATTCAAATTGCCTTAATTAAAAATGGTATACAAATTTTCACCCTGCATTCAGGCCAATAGTGGTATTGATATGGTAAAGATTATTATACGATCTATGGTGGTGAAGACGGATCATTTTGAATAAGGGTTGTACCATGGTCCAGGACATATGTCCGGCATGTGGGAATAGTCCTCATAATATGTGGCACCTTTTCAATTGTCCATCCAAACCCTCTCATCTATCCCCATCTTTATTAAGGACTCTCAGAGAACATGTGCTAGACATGAGGTATAATTTGGACCTGCATATGCTGTTCAAAAATCCAAAATCCGCCTCAGTCAGAACATATACTCTGAATGACTATTGATTGGTCCACATTAATAGTGAATCCTTTTCATTTTATGCTGCTGTCGGACCATAAATTATGATTATCAAAATTCCTGTAGGCATATAATCATCCATGGCATCCTATCCATTATGCTGTGACATATCCGAACAGACTTAAGTTCTACTTGATCAGACTTCTAACCAAATAAACTTTAAGTTTCAATATGCAATCATACACGATATATACAATATAGATGGACCAGGGGATAATTCAGACTGTCATCATAATCCAAAAGAATTAGCAGGCACGCCTTATGTCAATCGGCATACGTTTTTTTTTTTTTTTTTTTTTTTTTTTGTAGTTGGGGTTTGACTGGCCAATAAACTTGGATATTCCTATTCAAAATTTACTCTTATACTTATTACTCCTTAAAAAATATATTTAAATTGCTTTAACCGGATAATTTTGAAAACCACTTACCTCAACATTCATGTTGGAAAGAGCATGATAACCATCACCGGTGGGGCGGACCACAGTAATAGTAAACATGGCCTTCATGTCGGGTTCATCAAAGCAAGGGAAGGCTTGGCGGGCATAGGTGGGTTCGAATTTCGATGTGGCAATTGATCTGTTAATAAAAATTAAAATATTTTTTATTTGACTTATAAACAAAAATAGTAATAACTACTTAATAATAATTAATAACTACTTAGTATGGCAAAAGCATTCATATATCTAAATACATTAAAAAAACATTTTCAAATAAATACCTCTTTTCATTACGTTTCTTATCCAAATATGAACTTTGATAGAAACCCACAATACGATCTACCAAAGAACCGTTAAATGCCAATTGCACTGAATAATTGCCCACCTCCAGGGGTTCAGCAAATTCAGTTACCCAATATTGAAATTCCGGATGTTCAAAGGTCAGTGATGGTGTTACAGAACGCAATGGCTTCAAGTCGTCCGTTAATTGTTGTACTTCTTTGGTCTCGACAGTGAGCAGCTTTGAATGCAGTGGTATAAATGAAATTGGTTTTAATACTTCCAGTCTTATCGTTACATTGCCGGAAAATGTTTTATTCTTTAAATCTGGCTGCAGTCTTAAATTGTATTTATGGGGTTTCAGTTCCCGCGGCAAACGGAATGATAACTGTTGCAACACTTTGGAGGCAGTCATAATTCGGGGAGCCAGTGTGGTTTTGTTGAAGCGGATGACTTTTGTTGTTGTTGGTGGTGGCGTTTGTGCCTGCTGATCCGTTGGACGAAAACGTAATATGGGTTTGGTGGACAGTGGTATACCGTTTCCGTTACCTAGCTGGCCGTCCGCTTTGAGAATTGTATCGTTGTAGGAGAAATCTATATGGTGATGAAGATGATGTTTATTAGGTAACTAGAAATCAGTCGATGTTTACTTGTTGTCCTTGTGAATTTGATAAAAGGATGGATAAATGATATAAAGGTAAATAACGAACAGAAACAACCGGTAAAACGAAAAGGAATTTGTTGATGTTTGCACCGGATTGCAATTTTCCCAACAAGGCTATGTTCGGCGAACAGCTGTTCTGAAATATTTAATAGCATTAACATGGGAACAGCTGTTGAAATATAAACGGCATTGCCATCTTTTTTTACCCAGGAAACCAAATTATTGCATAAAGGGAAAATGTATAAAGGCACAAATAGTAAATGAATTGAAGAAGTCCAAGATTCCGGAGAAATGGGTGTATAAAACTTAATTTTTAAATAGGTAATTTGTATGGGTATCTGGACTTCGGACATTGAAATTGCCTGCTGCGGAACTCTGTTAAGAATTTGAGAAATTATTTAATGAACAGGTGCCACATGGCTACGCTTCAGAATCTCCTGAAATATAATTATTAAAATTGAATTCCTCTAAAAATATGGACTTTGTCGTAATCGGCATCTATTCGGCTTTCTATGCTAGTTTTCAAATGAATTCGCGACTCATTGGTCCAAAGGGGTTTTGAAAGCCGATATTTTAGGATATATACACAAGGAACAAACTACATCGTTTTAATAAGGACCTCTAGTTTCACATATAAGCCATCCGAAGCCAAGAATTCAGCCAAATGAGTTGAAAGACTTTCCTAAAAATGTGCAAGCTAGTCGAACATCCCATTTTTTGTTTGTTGGGTGATAAATGTAGGGAATTGTCATACGGAAAAAATTTAACCAATTGCAGACACCGTCATAACCATGGTATAATAATAGAAGGTAACAGCAAGTGTTGTTGTACAAAAAACGATACAACAACCACATGGAAATTTGTTGTTGTAAGTTCTACTAGTGTCAACTCATTTGACAGAAAAATGTAAATAAACAAACAAATTATCATCAAATTATTTTTATTTTGAAAATGAAATATTTTCGAATCCTCAAAATAAAAATTGAAAAACATGAATGAAAATCTATCAAATTTATATTTCTATCTATTCCACTTCTTTCCTATAATTGAGCCATTGCCATCTATATATGTAACACATATGAAAATGCTGGGAATAGCGAGTTATTCCTTGAAGAAAGATTTGCTTCCTCAAACTTTCCCAGCAGGCAGATTGAGTAAATTGAATACAGGAGCACATTTAATAAAGAACAATTTTAAATTGTATGCGTTCCCAATTTTCCTGTTGGGTGATTTTTAAAAACATAATTTGTCAAATTCATATTGACACTAGTATAACGTTGGAATCAAATCAGCTGGGATTTGCTGTTACCTTTTATAGTTGTATCATGCGTCATAACCTTCATATTATCCTCCTTTTCATTCAAATTTAACCATCTAACACAAACCTGTTTTACTCCGCTCATTAACAATATTTCTACCCACATAGACCAGGGCACCCAGCAGAAATACACACAACACCAGCAGGAATATACAAAACCCGGCCAGTGTCAGAACAGCATTACTTGGCTTTCGATGCAAATGATGTGGATCCTTCATTCGATGATGATGTTCGTCTGTGGACAGCGATGAACGCGGTCGTATTGGTATGGGTATTTTTGGTTGATGCTGTTGTTGTGGCGGGTACATTTTGGCGGACAATTGGCGTTTGTTACGCGCCTTTATAACACTGGCAAAATGCACTTTGATCTGGCAATGCTATTACTCGACTATATCAAAAGCTTTCTGTTATGTTGTTGCTACAGCGACTGTTGTTGTTAACATTTGTTTATTCTTCTTCTTCGTTTGTTGTGTTGTGATTATTTTTATTTTGCGCTCAATTTTTTGGAAGTTATTGTCTTGTGTTCTATTAATAATTATAAATTAATTTCGTAATTTGTTTGTGAATAATAAAAAAAAATTAATTTTGGTGTTTTGTCAATTGTGAAATGCAAAATTATATTGAAATAAAAATCAAGCAGATGGCATCGTAAACATATTGTTGTTTGTTGCAGTTCAAAAGTAAGAAGAGGAAGAAGAATCATCGTTGTGGGGACATGAAATGCAAATTTGAAGACAATTTCAGAAGACTTCAGTTTTAAGCGTTAGTTAGACACAGCTATTTTGGTACTTTTTAAAGGTGGAAGTCTTGCAAATATTGAATATTATAAAAAGGTGAGTTGTGAAAAAAAACAAATTGTATATTAAAGATGTTTTAAATTATACGACATTGAAATTTATCAGCTAAATTAGACTTGGGCTATTCGGAAATGATCTCAACTCCTTCTTCGACAATGACAACAAGAGCAGAAGTTATTTTTTGGTCGAAATAATTTATAACAAGTTGTATAAAGATGTGGCAATTTACCGGATGTATATTTTAATGAAAAAATTTGAATAAAAGGTATGATCACAAAATATATATTCATCTTTTAATATTTAAATCTATTCACAGATGGTCATGGTCTCATCTCCTCCTTCGTCAATAAACAATAATAATAAGTTATTTTTGGGTCAATAAAATCATAACAACTTGTATAAAGATGTTACAAATTGTATGCATGTATGTTTTAATAAAAAAAAATCGAATCTCGGATCAAAGGTAGGACAATAAAATATACCTATTTGTGCATATTTTCATATTTGTTTCTATTCACAGATTACGTCTTTAGGTATATGATTCTGACGCATCCAACGAATATATTAAATTTGTGTGTTTAAGGAAATTTAAAAACTATACAAAATTTGAATTCATCAACCTATATTATGCCAAGCAGAGCTCGGTCATGGCCATCATATGTAAGGATTTAAAATATTTCAATGAAAAAACTTGGAATCAAGAAACAAAGGTACGACAACAAAATATGCATATTTAAGTTTTTGAATCTTATCACATACCACACAAACATTTCAAATTAAATTCCCAAGTCTAATTCTGTGTTCCATTTCAGATATTACATTTTCTAGAGAATATTTTAAATATTTAAAAAGGTTAAAAAACTTGTATGTCTATTTTAGCTCCAATCCGACTTTTTCTAATGACCTACATAAATTAAAAAGTAAACATTTAAAATCCCATAAGAAGTGCATAGAGGATCCGATTCGAAACTTTACCAATATTAATAATTCTTCACAATTGACACCTCAACTACAAAGGGTCAAAAGGTTTAAAACTTGTACATGAGATTCGATCGATTCGATCCAAAATATGCAAATCATAAAATTTTTATAAATTTGCAGGCTGGTACCTGAACATATTTGTTATACTGAATACAGATTTGGTGATACGTGATATAACGTATACATATTCTTGATCAGAATTAAATTCGAAGTCAATTTAGCCATAATATGCAATATAGAGCTTTTAAATTTTGCAGACATTGCTAGTATTCCTAGGTTGTTTTGTATTGAAAATGCGATATATCGGTCAACCTTTTGGCATTGACCCATTAGAGTGATACCATCAATTTCGATAAGGAGTTTTAGCTCTCATTGGGTATCGAATCTTCGCATTAAACATTATCATATTTAGTTCACTATTTAGGTTAGCCCACTTGGCCATGTTATTTTCTTTCTTAAAACCACGATAGAGTTTTGAAATTTTAGACATGTATTACTACTACTCCTAGGATGATGGGTATTGAAAATGGGTTATATCGATCCACGTTTTGACATAGCCCCCATAGATTTTGATAATTTTTGGAATATAGCATTTTAAGTTCAGATTTGGTTGCAAATCTTCACAATAAAAATGATCAATATTGATAACCATTTTAGGATATCGCCCATATAACGGTAACTCCTAAATGTCCTTACTTTGGTTAGTTTGAGTACGATTTTCAATTAAAATATATATATATATATATATATGTTTTAATTTTACTAATATTTGTCGGTAATACAAAATTTTTTTACAGAATTACACTACAGGCCTACTTGAACTTATATATTCCATAGTTTTTAGTTTATATTCAACATAATCGTCTCCGAAATTTTATTATCCCTTCATTATTAAGTGGAAGATATTTTAGATTTTAATATAAATGCGGCTACTATAATCGCATCATAAACACATACATATAAAATATTTGAATAAATCTCATATTTTAAATTTGAATAAATTCAAAATTTAAATTTATTATTTTTGTGAAAAATATTGATCAGAAACCCTGTTATTGACTTTCAAAATAACAGCTACCAATTTGTTACATACATGCCATTAATGTTAATGACACTAAACAAAATTGAATAATGTATTTTTCATCTGTTGATTTTGTAACAAACAATTGAAATAATTATTATAAAAAATGAGACTTATATTGATATCAGTTATTAAGCAACAATCAAAAAACAAACCAGGCACGCATTTGCATTTATTTTAATTTGCAAGCAGGCAGGCAGGCAATTCAATACTTCCGCTCTTCGATAAATTACAACTTTTTGATTACAAAAGTTATTCACTTTTTTATGACAAATAATTACACAAAATTGAAACCATAAAAATTACAAAAAAAACGTGCATGAATCAATTGCACTTCAATGATCATGTGTGATTTTTCTGTTTAATGGCATGTACGATTTTGAAAGGTATTAAAAAAATTAATAAAAATAGAGTATGTTTTTATAATATATTAAAATAATTATTAGATGATTTTTTATTCAATATTCAAATGTATATACAATTAATAAAATGTGAAATGTTTACATATAATTATACAGGTTTTGAAACTTATTTCTATTTCCTTTAAATCACCTCTTAAATCTCAATATTATTTCGTTTCTAATTATAGTGTTTTCCCTTTCAAAAATGTGTCTAACATTCTATAGAAAGTAAAGGAGCAGGTATTTAACAATTAACCTTAATAATAATCATTTATGTTTAATTGTTTTTTTTGTTATTACCATTTTTTTGCAATGTTTTTGCTTTTCTGTTCCGTTTGAAGGAGAAGACAAAAAATTCCAACCAGAACAACAATAATGGGAAAACACATTCCATTTCATGAAATGGAAAGAAAAGAAAATTCCAAAACACCAAAATATATGTAAGTGTAAATGTCGAACCAAATGACCGATTGTTGCCGGGGTTATGGTGCTATCTTTGTACAAAAAAAAAAAAACATACACACAGACTAAAAACTCGTTTGAGTTATGGCCAAGTTAAGCTGATTTGTAACACGACTCTATTTGGATAGAGTCGTTTCGCTAACACTCATTTGCTGCTATTGTTGTTGTACTTGTCTAATTCACTTTCTATGGACAATGCTGAACGACCAAAACAAACGTTGATGTTGATGATGAACATTTATCTCAAGCCGCAGATAATTGTAACACAACAACAACAACAACAGCGACATACAAATTTTACACCCAATCTTATGTGTAATTACACTATGTAAACATTTGATCCCCTATCGCCCCCCTTGCACCACTGTTACACTAAAGTACTCTTGGTATTTGATTTGGTTTGGTGTTGTTGGGACACTTTGACGTTGCCTGGCGGTTTGACATCGTTTGTAAACAACATTAACGTAAAGTTTATTTGGAAGTCAATCAAGGTTGTTGCCTTGCATTTGATGTTGTTGTTGATGTGTATTGTTGTTGCCTCAGGGAATTTGATATGTATAGGGGGCGTATATGGAGTATTGTTGTGGTATCATACACATAAAAGTGATCAATATTGGTTTTACATATATGTATGGGAATCAATGAATCTTGCAACACCAAGGGGAGGAGGATAATGAGGATTGTGTAGAAATTTTTGCTAAAGGGAGTTAATTTCATATCCAACTTTTTAATTGATATAAATTGAACTCTTGATTAATCAAATTTTAATCTTACTTGCAGGTCCAGATATTAAAAGAGGAGCTGGCAGCTAAGCAAGTGGTTTCAAAAAAAAAAAGCGTTTCACGTGGTTCAGATGTTTCCCATGTATAACTCTACGAAAGAAAACAAGTTTGGTATCCTATTTTAAACATGGTCTAGTGTTGCAGAAGGAAGAGGATCAGTAACAGCCCCTACAAACCGTTGTAGAACATTAAAAATCTTTGACCAGATTGAATTCAGCTGGTTCATGTGAAGCCTATTGAAGTTCAGGAATTTTACAGTTCTGAAAAGAAATCCTCATATACAGCGATTCAAAGAGTGACTGTTAACACAGCCGAAAGCTTTCGATGTTAAACCCCCTCTAAAGGCAGTTTCTACGACTAAACAGATGCTTCCTATGTACAGCACCGCAAGGGAAGGAAAAAACCTTTGGATCCTATATTATACCTAAACTAGTATTACCAAAACAAAAGGTTCTGTCATCACCCACAATCTACCATAGAACAGATTTCACACTGCGCCAAAAAAAAAAAAAAATACGTCGACACATTCCTCCTATTCGTCGATTAGCCGCATTCGACATCCCTATCCGTTCAAAGGTGTTTTAAGCCATGTCTGCGTTCGGCATTCCTGCAAAATTAATACGGCTATGCAGGTACAAGGACTCGGACCAACTGTGAATCTTGAAAACTACAGCTTCAAATTTTTGTAGTAGATGTAGTGAACGATTTTATATACCTCGGTACCGCCATAAACAAAACTAATACCGGCAGCTTTGAAAGCCGGAGCTGCGCACAAGACCGACGCAGCTGGAAATTGTTTAAGCTCGGCTTATGGAACAACCCCTCTGTCAATCCCACGGCAGCTGGTTCTCTGTACCGGATTGACTCGGAGA